CCTGAAAATCCATCCTGCATATCAGATATTTACGTGACGATTCATAACAGTAGCAACATGACAGTGATGAAGTAGCAACGAAAATAATGTTATGGTTGGGTGACAACATGAGGGACTGTATTAAAGGGTCGTGGCGTTAGGAAGGTTGAGAACCACTGCTCTAGCCTGTGAGGGGTCTAGGGGCTGGATCTGAGAGGCAGAGAAGTGGTCGGGGAAGAAACCTGGACCTGAGGGATCACGGGCACCCGGGGGCCGGGAGGGGGGCAGGAAACCCCCTCACAGTGTCCCCCACTTGGGGAGGCGGCGGCTACAACTCGGGGTCACTCACGGACCCCCCCTGGCTGGCCCATGGCTGGCCGGAGAGTCCGAGGGAGGGACACGGGCGGCTCAGGTTTCTCGGGTCGGCGGGGTCCGCCCAGGTTCTGGCGAAGGAGCAGAACCCAACGCAGGGACTGGCTCCAAAGCGTCACCCAACGCCAGGCCGGTCTGAGCGGGGACCCGGGCTCCCCGCCCCCACGGGCTACTCGTCACTCCTCAGCATGGCCTACCTGCTCACGGGTGTCCTTCTGTGCCACGTCTGAGCATTGACCCGAGCTGTGCCCTCCGCCTGGAACGCCTCCTGCGGGCGCCGCTGGGCCTGCTCCGGCGCCGTCCAGCCACGTCTGAGCATTGACCCGAGCTGTGCCCTCCGCCCGGAACGCCTCCTGCGGGCTCCGCTGGGCCTGAGCGACAGCCCCCTTCCCCACTGGTCTCCCACTCCCACTCGTGCCCTCCCCTGATCCAGGAGGAGCGCACACAGCCCCCACCCCCAACGAAAAGAGTGAGTCCCATCCCCTGGGAGCCCCACCAGGCAGGGTCCTGAATGGCCCCTCGGCCTTTGTTTACCCATCTGTGAAATGGGCCCAGCCACCCACCAGACAGTGGGTGATCCAAGGCGCTGAGGGGTAGGCTCAGGAAGTACAGGGCCTGGTACACAGCAGGGGGGTCCCCCATTCCTTGTCAGGGCCTCAGGGGGGAGCTGGGAGATCTGTTCTTCAAACTGGGGCTCCTGGGAGGAGGGGGCCACGGCCGCCCCAGGCAGAGGACCCCCATTTTCGACACCAAAATGCATATTCCTGACGCTGAGGGCGGGCAGCATGTCCCCACAGCACAGGGCACGCAGGTGACAACCCAGTCAGGTCCTCTGCCTGGGACGCCGGGAGGAGGCCCCCCGGAGGGGGAGGCACCCCAGGGCACGGGCATCTGCAGCTCAGACAGGTTTTGCATGGGTGGGAGGGCCTGGGGATCCCCAGCCCCCCGAGGGAGGGGACCTGACAGGTCTAAGGGGCCTGCAGGGGGGCCCGGGGAGGGGACCATGGCAGGCTGGTACCTGCCTGGCCTTCTCGCTCCATCATGTCCACGCTGGGCCGGAGGAAGAGCCCCAGGACATAAGCAAGACACCCCAACTCCCGATCGCCCTCGGGGGCCGCTGTCCCTGCCTCCCCACCCAGGCAGGACCCCGCTCGGCTCCCCTTCGGAGGCTCCGAGGAGGAGTCGCGGCCCTTCCAAGGTCACGCCTGGGGCGAAGGCA